CTGTAACGATCAAGTCCACTGGAAGCAAGTTGAGGTGAGAACCCAAACGCAATTTATTCCAAAAACAAGATAAACACAACAAAAGCATGACAAGGCATGGAAAACTCTAAACTAAAACAGGAACACAAACCAAGACTAGCGAACAAGATACTGGAGCCTGGGCATAGAACAAACAATACTCGACAAAGACACAGGGCAAACATGAGAGTTAAATACATACAGGACTAACGACGAGACAAGGGACACCTGTAAACATTTAAACAATCAACCAATGACAACATGACACAACAGACAAGGGAACACAAGGCAAGATCACATGACAGACAAGAACAGGAACAAGACACAAAACCCACACCGTGACACCCACAGCAACATACAGTAGCATCTGCAATACTGTCTGTATTAGAGGTCGACCGACAGTGGATTTTACAGATAACAATAACTAGGTTGGTCCGCACTGGCTGATAACCACTAATTAATCAACTCATCGTTTTTAAATTGTATACTGAATGAAAACAGTACTGAACTATGGGAATATACTCTATTTTTTAAATAAAATAAATATATTACTATTAATCTCGTCTCAAATACTGTCTGTATGAATGTGCAGCGGGAGGGCCCATAAAGGGACATGGTGGTAAAAAAAAAAAAAAAAAAATGGCATGGGAGTAAAAATAAATAAAAAATGTCCTTCCCTCGGGGAACTTTTCTTAGAGGAAAAAGTTTCTTAGAGGAATGAAAATGCATTTTTTCACTTTCATTTTTTTTGCACCGCCTTGTTGTCCCTTTAGGGGCCCCGTACTTACCAGTAACAATAACTACAGTGACCAAAGTAATATCAAAGATGACGATGTCTGTAAAACTGGAAGTCTTATCATTTTTGAAATGACGAGTCCAGTCAAGCTGCAAGTTGATTCTACAAATCTTCATTAACCGACACACAGGAGACGCTCATTTGTGCAGCGCAGAGCGGATCTCTTGCACTGTATGATGTGACGGACAACAAGTGGTCCAGTCCGGTTCCGATCACACAGTGCGGGTTTTCAGAAAATACGGTTGTGAGTCCTAAAAATGTACGGGTGGGAATTTGATTATAGAATGCAGTTTTCACTCTCATAAAATGCTAAACTGTGCGTTAACGTAACCATATTAAAGACTCAAATACAGGATTGACAACTGTATTCTGCTGCTGTGTGAACGTGGCCTATATAAATACCCTAAATGCGTTTGTCTTTGACTGCCCTGTTACTCTGTCAGGGGAAATAGCGGGTTGGCATGGTAACCACAGGTGAGAGTCGGCTCATTCCCTTTTGCAAAGGCACCTTGAAGTGCTCCCTTAGGACTCGAGAAGTTTATTTGGTTGCTTGATGAGAAGCGGTGTGAAATGTGCTGTTTGACTGTGTGGATATGAGCAGCAGGCGTCATTGTTAGCTTTTTGATCTTCAATCAAACTCTTAATGGTGTGCAAACGCGTTGAACATCAATGTGTGCTAGATTTTGGTGTTTCTGTCATCATATTTCTTTAATAAATGTGGTTAATAAAGCAGAAATCAGTTGTGCGTTTGACCTTTTTGCACTCTTTCAATGATACACAGTACTAATGACCAGAAATCTACATTAATGTGATCAGGTTAGCCATTCTAGCCGCTGGGTGTTGACAGAAGGTGTACATGTGTCTTCGGCGTGAGACTCTCTGCTCATTAGCACTGAGCCGCATCACCGTCCAGGTCTTTAATTAGCATTTGAAGTCTGTGATGGGCCTGAGTTTGAAAGGGCTTCCACGTCATACACAGCATCGGGTTCGGTGACACCAAGAACAACCCTGCCTCTGCTAAAGTCTCCGTGTTCCCGCTCGTTCACCTAGCAGACAAAATATGGCGTCTGTCCCTGTCTTTTTCTATCGCCTCATCCTGCGGGCTCGCTGATAAGACCGCCGTGCCCCCCGTCCCGTAATGGAGACGAGGATGGGGATTGGGCCTATTGACCTCCCCGGCTCTTATCGGCTTTATCTGATTTACATTGCCAAATCAGAATCTACTATATTGATTACAACATAATTAGTTAATTATGGACAGGAAGGAGAGGAGAGCATGGACTGCAGGGTGAAGGGCATGTGGAGCTTCAGCTGATGCACCTTATGAATGTTAAATGAGAACTGAACTTTATGCACTTTTTCTTACAATGTCTTATGAATATAGATATATTTAATGTTTTTTTGTTTGTTTGTTTTTTTACAGCAGCTGTCATTGTTAATTTATTGCAATTAGTTATAAAAAGTAATAAAAAATTGATCCATTTATTTATGCCCACTGAGTCAAATTTAAATCACATAAGGATTTCTGTAACACTTTACAATAAGGTTCAATTTATGTTATAATTTATGTTTTTGAAAGTAGTTTCTTATGCTCACCAAGGCTGCATTTATTTGATCAAAAGTGCAGTAGAAATAGTAATGTTGTAAAATAGTATTACAATTTTAAATAGCTTTTTTTCTTATTTTCTTATATTTTAATGTGCAATTTATTCCTGTGATGCAAAGCTGAATTTTCAGCATCATTACTCCAGTCTTCAGTGTCACATGATCCTTCAGAAATCATTCTAATATGCTGATTTGCTGCTCAAGAAACATTTCTTATTATTATCAATGTTGAAAACAGTTGTGCTGCTTAATATTTTTTGTGGAAAAATTTGTTGATGAATAAAAAGTTCAAAACTACAGAGCCCCCCTAGTCCCACTTTGTCAAAAAAAAAGTATTATAACTATCTCGTGGCCTCAAGATAGTAACTCGTGGCCTCAAGATATTAACTCGTGGCCTCAAGATAGTAACTCGTGGCCTCAAGATAGTAACTCGTGGCCTCAAGATAGTAACTCGTGGCCTCAAGATATTAACTCGTGGCCTCAAGATATTAACTCGTGGCCTCAAGATAGTAACTCGTGGCCTCAAGATAGTAACTCGTGGCCTCAAGATAGTAACTCGTGGCCTCAACATAGTAACTCGTGGCCTCAAGATATTAACTCGTGGCCGCAAGATAGTAACTCTTGGCCTCAAGATAGTAACTCGTGGCCTCAAGATATTAACTCGTGGCCGCAAGATAGTAACTCTTGGCCTCAAGATAGTAACTCGTGGCCTCAAGATAGTAACTCGTGGCCTCAACATAGTAACTCGTGGCCTCAAGATAGTAACTCTTGGCCTCAAGATAGTAACTCTTGGCCTCAAGATAGTAACTCGTGGCCGCAAGATATTAACTCGTGGCCTCAAGATATTAACTCGTGGCCTCAAGATAGTAACTCTTGGCCTCAAGATAGTAACTCGTGGCCTCAAGATAGTAACTCGTGGCCTCAAGATAGTAACTCGTGGCCTCAAGATAGTAACTCGTGGCCTCAACATAGTAACTCGTGGCCTCAAGATATTAACTCGTGGCCTCAAGATAGTAACTCGTGGCCTCAAGATAGTAACTCGTGGCCTCAAGATAGTAACTCTTGGCCTCAAGATAGTAACTCGTGGCCTCAAGATAGTAACTCTTGGCCTCAACATAGTAACTCGTGGCCTCAACATAGTAACTCGTGGCCTCAAGATAGTAACTCGTGGCCTCAAGATAGTAACTCGTGGCCTCAAGATAGTAACTCGTGGCCTCAAGATAGTAACTCTTGGCCTCAAGATAGTAACTAGTGGCCTCAAGATAGTAACTCGTGGCCTCAAGATAGTAACTCGTGGCCTCAAGATAGTAACTCGTGGCCTCAAGATAGTAACTAGTGGCCTCAAGATAGTAACTCGTGGCCTCAAGATAGTAACTCTTGGCCTCAAGATAGTAACTCGTGGCCTCAAGATATTAACTCGTGGCCTCAAGATAGTAACTCGTGGCCTCAAGATAGTAACTCTTGGCCTCAAGATAGTAACTCGTGGCCTCAAGATAGTAACTCGTGGCCTCAAGATAGTAACTCGTGGCCTCAAGATAGTAACTCGTGGCCTCAATATAGTAACTCGTGGCCTCAAGATAGTAACTCGTGGCCTCAAGATAGTAACTCGTGGCCTCAAGATAGTAACTCGTGGCCTCAAGATAGTAACTCGTGGCCTCAAGATAGTAACTCGTGGCCTCAAGATAGTAACTCGTGGCCTCAAAATAGTAACTCGTGGTCTCAAGATAGTATCTCAAGAGGCCACGAGTTACTATTTTGAGGCCACGAGATAGTTATATTGAATTTTTTTGACAAAGTGGGACTAGGGGGGCTCCGTACAAAACAACATCACAAATTTTAAATATGAATTTTTGTACCATTGTAAATGACTTTACTGTCACTTTTAATCAATTAAATGTGTCCTTGCTGAATAAAAGTATTCATTTCTTAAATCAAAAAAAATCTCACTGACCCTATTGTGAATCTTACAAGTCAACCTTTTAAGATACCTAAAAATACTGATTATATATGGTTATTTGCAGTTAATTTGATTAATTAATTGCTGTATATTATATACATATATATTTTGACACTAATGTGAAATGTCCCTGAATGCTTCTGATGATGTTGCATTTTGTTTTCAGTAGCGATATTCAGCACTTGCAGCAGCTACAGAACAGCATAATAATCGACCCAAGATGAAGGTCTTTTACGGTTTATGTAAAATCGGATAGCTGGTGGTTGAGCAGACCTATAACTAAGGACAGAATCTCAGTGTCTTTCTTGACACCTTGACTCTGGAATAAAAATCCCTTAGAGATTTATCGACACGATGAGCTGAAACTCATTTCAGCAGGACCAATCGAGCAGCGTGTTTTATGATGGCTGTACAAGGCCGTGTGAGAGGTTGTGTGCCAATGTGTTTTGAATCTATTAAGCATCTGTTACCTGACAGCAAATGGCTCTGTCACCATCTATCATACCTGCCTGGTTAGGGCCATACTGCCCTCTTGGCAGGGTATAAGCAGTCTGTGTGTGTGTGGCACCGGAGCTGCATTTTAATGTATTCTCGCTGCTAATGTGCTGACTGTTTTCCTCATAGGTGTGATGAGTGTCAGCTCTGTTACCACTTCGGCTGTCTGGACCCTCCCCTGAAGAAGTCGCCCAAACAAACCGGCTACGGATGGATCTGTCAGGAATGTGACACCTCCTCATCAAAGGTGAGAGTCAACAGAATTGTCCCTATACCCACTTCAGTCGTAATAGTTTGTTGTTTCTCCAATTTTTTATTTTTCCATCAATTGCCATCTATAATCTAGTCAGCCGCCTGCCTAGACAGCTCATGTACATGGAGAACAGGACTGTAAAAAAAGGGTAGCACTTTATTTTGCAGTCATGTTCCCCTTGTACATAGTACTATGTACTTATTATACAGTAGTTATTACAACAACTGGGTAATAACTACGTACTAACCCTGAACCTAATCTTAACCTTATGTAATTACCTAATATTAACCAGTACTTTCTTAGGTAAGAACACTGGAAGTACACATACTGTAAAATGAAGTGCTACCGGGTTTGGTTTAGGGTTTTAGGGTTTCTTGTGATCGTGCACATTTCACTGTTATTACTATAGTAAGTACATGTAAAATTTGTAACAAGAACACTGTAAAATAAATTGCTACCTTTTTACTTAATTTTATAATTTAATTTAATCTAATACTTCTAATCATAATATAATTTTAGTTCATTAAAGGGATACTTCAGGATTTAGCATTAAGCTTTGTATTAGTAGAAAACCTGTAGTATTTTCGAATTACCATGCTTTTCACCCTCATATCCCCCTGAGACGAGACGAGAGATTTATGTATTTTTTGTCTGAAAAAAATCCTCCGATGACGCAAAAATCGTCATTTTGCGTCATCGGAGGATTTTTTGGCCAGAGGTTAAAGACTATAGCCAGTAGTAGGGGCTGTCCCGCATGTTCTCAACCCGCCCATAGAGGGTGGGATCTCACTCACAGAATGTACACATAGTGTCAGCCATCTTTTTTTGGAAGTTAAGCTAGCAGGCTCTTGTTCTGTGGAGAAAGCTGAGTAGTAGGGGTTACCATCCTCTTTTTTCCCGCACATGTCCGGCCGTCGATGTCCGGGATTCAGCTTTTGCTTTCTGCAGTCGCCATTCATTGTTTACATGCACACCTTTTGTTTCAATCTAACTGAATTCAATCCGATTGGTGAATCTGAATGTAGTGTTTACATGAACGCTAAAAAAGTGATCGGTTGATGTGCGTTTTAACATTGCTAAGAAAATTCCCGCTCCTCCGTGAGAGATACGAGACCGGTGCGTCTCACAGGTGTCGCTCATCGGTAATCACGCCACCAGCCTCGCGCTGTTCTCCCGCGGCCCTCAGTCTCGTCCTGCTCGCCACAGTAAACATAATGAATGGCGACTGTAGAACGCAAAAGCCGAATCCCGGACATTTTGGGCGATCTCGAAAACCCGGGCAGACTCATCACGGAGACTCACTAGTAGCCTAGACTTGTTTAACTACTGCGCTCTGTTACCGGTAGGCGTGGCCTCCTAGGGCAGCGAAGCAAGTGCATTCTGGGAGTTGTTGTCTTTCATCCACATAAGCCAAAAATACATTTTCTGGCTTTTCTCAGTCTAGAAAGCTCCAAATTCAAAAATAATTTCACATTTCTTCTACATAAATGACCCATTTTAAATACACATTTATCTTTCCAGAGGTGAAGTATCCCTTTAATTGTTATAATGATTTACTGCAGTGGTTGTGGAATTATTCATTTCTTTAGACTCATAACACATTTTTGTACAAAACCAGACTGGCTTTGAAAGTAGGGGAAGAGTAGTCCGTCCTTATTCATTATTCATTTAGTCCACAGTGTTCATCGCTCAAGTATCACCCCAGTTCAGGAAACATTTCCTGACATGATTTATTACATAAATAAATAAATAAATAAATACAAATCTTTACCACAGATTCTTTAAATACTCTAACCGGGCTTATCGGCTCCCTGGCTTTGTTAATTACAGATAAAAGCTAAGCAGATGTGGTTTGAAGATGCAGAAGTGTCCCGATAGCACCAGTGGTGAAAGTCAGCCGCTGTTTTAAATCCTATATGCCTTCCTTCCTTCCCTGCACACGTCAGCGGCTGCTCCTGATCCCTTTCCTAAAAGCCACAGTTGATCCGCGCTGTTGACTTATCCTACGGTGATTGTTTTGTAGTATGTTTTGGAAATTAGTGAGTGCTTTCACGTTCTCCCAAACATTTAATTTCTATTTCTCATTGAATTACAGTGCAATCAACGGCATTATGTGTCTTCTTGGAAACCCAATTAAGTTAATAAATGCATCTGCTTTTCAATTTATCTTTAAATGGACAGTTCTGCTAGCCAGACTCTAGCGGCATGGAAAATGGGGGTTAATTGATGTTTGCTGAAGAGAAAGTAAAAGATGAAAAATGGTGGTGGTCTGACTACATGGCGGAATTAGTAACATGGAATTATTGCTCAGGATTCAAATTAAAAGGTTTAAGCAGAGAGCATGATGATAGAATGACAAATGCAGATGCTGGTAAATACAGTTTTCTGTATATGTACATGAATCTTAGTCTGGAGATGCTAAGATAAATGGTAGTGATATGGTAATAACAGTTATGATGTTAACATGGTACGTTTTGTAACCATCTTGGCTTTGATATAATGATGGAACCCCTCAGAGATCTCAATATAATCTCGAATTCTTCCAAGACCAGTTTTATTTGAGCTATCAACATTAATTGTATAGCTCAGTGGAATACTCTAAATGTATGACAATAATTGTCATATTTGTTCCTATTTTTACTTGTTTTTTTCCTCTAGGTTTTCTGTTATTGAAATATTAAGATAACTGTTGATTGTGCTAGTGTTATGTCACATATCACCATGATGCTATGTCCAAAACACAGTATTACCATTGTAAATTTCCAAAAAATAGTATTACCATGGTAAATGTCCAAAAATCATAGGTAAATGTACAAAAACATTACTGCGGTAACATGTGCAAAAACATGGTGTTACCAAAGTAAATGTTCAAAAAACAACATAGTATTACTATGATAAATGGTATTGCTACATGGGTTTACTGTGGTAAATGTACAAAAACATATGACATAACTACGATACAATATCCAAAAACATGCCATTACAATAGTAAAGGTACAAAAACCATAGTTTTACTATAGTAAATGTACAAAAAACAAGGTGTTATCACAACACCATAAAAAAAAAAAAAAAAACATAGTATTACCATGGTAAATGTGCCAAAAAATATGATAATGTGAAGATACTTAGAAATGTCAGTATGTTTGCTAAAATATGGTTAATAATGTTCACAAATATTTATTTCATCTGTTTAAAAGATTGTTGATAAAATGAGATATAAAAAAGCTTCCAGTTGACTCTCAGCAGCCCTTTGTTTCAAATACATGTAAAAGTGCTTAATGTCTCGCTCATAAAATCGACTGATAAAGAGTAATGTTCTGGCAGCAGACCTCCTTTGTGTGTGCTGTGTATCTCCTGTAAATAGGGCTATTATAAGTCAAAGGCGTTGAAGAAAAGCTGCAGATCGGTAACCCGCTGCTACAGAATGAGAGCTGTGCAGTTCAGAACAAAAGCGATGGAAGGAAGGCGAGTGGAGACAGAGAAAAGAGCTTTAGACAGTGGGAGGTGCACCAGGGCCACAGGGATTAAACAAGTCTTTGCCTTTAGAATGTGTTCAGTGACAGCCTGCCGTGAGACCAGCCGTTCCCCGGGGACTCGCAGAGACCAGACACAATCCTGTTTAATCACAGACACACACACACACACCGGGCCACATACCTCTCTCTCTCTCTCTCTCTCTCTCTCTCTCTCTCTCTCTCTCTCTCTCTCTCTCTCTCTCTCTCTCTCTCTCTCTCTCTCTCTCTCTCTCTCTCTCTCTCTCTCCCTCTCTCTCTCTCTCTCTCTCTTTCTTCGACACACACATGCTGTGCTTGGTTTTAGTAGGACCTGCTATCTTATCTCACCCTCACTACGGGGTTTTTGTTGTCCTCTGGAATTTTTTTTTTCTCTCCTTCTCTAATGTCATCATTTTATATCCTCTCTTCAACTTTACTATATAAAAGCGATGACAGAACGCGAAACGGGTTACACTCTCCTTCCTCTTACCTTTACTTTTCTTTTTTTGGTTCGAAGGCTACTTTAACACCACAAACGCCAATTCCAATCTTTTTCTTTTTTCGTGTGACCTTTTATTATATGGTTTGGATCCTATCATTAGCATTTTTTTTGTCACTGTTTAATGGAAGTGTCATAACGGTGATGAGCTAATGTACTCACATACATGTAGCCTATATTAAGTGTATGTGTGTGTATAAACTGTATATATATACATTTTTTTTAATTTTTTTTAATTATACAGTTCATAAATTGTTGTTGTGGAATTATGAAAAATTATCTAATTTGAATTGAAACTTTGCGTGAAAGATTTTTAGGTATTCACGCCTTAAAACATTTACAAGTTTAGCATCTGGAAAATGCTTTAATCTTCATATTTTTCCCAGATAATTCAGTATGCGTTTCCTGAGTATAACCTGCTATGACCTTGGCATTGTTAGTGCTATACTTTACCAGATGAAATATTGGTAAAATTTCAGTAGAAATCAATTCATTGTGTATATTTATATTGAGTGTTTTAGAGTCATAGAGTGGACATTCAAGTAAAGCGGTTGTTACGCTCTAGACATTTGAAAATCATTATATATTTGGTTGAACAATCGTCATACTGTAAATGTAGACACATCCGACCCTTGAAACAAAAAGTCGGGGTGAAGGGTAAATGTCTTCTGGCCGTTACTGCCATTTGAAATATAATAGGTTCCATTATGGGAATCAAAGAGCACTCCAGAAATGAGCAGTGTGTTGAAGTACTTCAGTTCTGTAATGTGCCACGCTGTGAACCTCTTTACCTGCGGTTGGTCCGGATGTTTTTTTAAATGCCATCTTAAAATGCAGCCAGCTTCTTCTATAATTCTCCTCCTCGCCAAGATTGTGGGGGTCGACATTAAAGGGGGGCGGTGCTTTGGTTTCGCTGCGGTTGAATGAAGAAGAAGCAGTTCAGAAGTGTGGAACTGAAGAGTCGATTTGTTATCCCTTCCAGCCTTGACTTCTAGATGCGG